GGTCTCGGGGCGGGAGCAGGCCCTGCGGCTGCCTGCTTGGCCTTCGGGGCAGCCAGGGGCGAACTGGGCAGCTTGCGCGTGCCTCGGTTTCCCCTCGACGCAAGGGTAAGGTGGATTTTATTCGCTGTGTGTCGCGGAGCTTGCAGCAGAATGGGCAAAAAGCAGCGTCGAGGAGTGGGGTGCACCCTCTTGTTTCCCCATCGTCAAGGTGTGTTTCTCTGGCAGCCCCAGGCCGGCTGCCGCGTGCTGGATGGTGTTTGGAGAGGCAGGATAGCATGCCCAAACAGCCGTGGGCAGGAGCAGCCGAAGCGTTGGGTGTCCTTGCAGACTATGGCTGCAGAAGGGACTCAAAGGAGGATCTGAGAGGTTTGGGGGGAAAAAGTCCTGGTAGGGGAGACTGGGTCATGAGCCCCTTCTGTGGGGGTCGATGCAGTATCAGCATGCCAGTGCTGGCCTTGGAGGCCAGCCCTGCGCCGTGCTGGGGCTGCTGCACCGGTGGGATGCTCCGGAGGAGGTGTCGCTCCAGAGGAGCGAGCCTGTGGGGGTGCTCGGGGCTCCCTTTCCCGCATCGACCTCCCTTTCCCCCAGACCCGAGTGAGCAGGTCTGACCGTCAGGCCCCTGGGCCAAGCACCCTGCAACGTTTCGCCAGGATGCTCTAGGCCGAGGATGTGGCGGTCCCTGGTAAGGGTTTGGTGCCAGATGAGGCACGGCAGGTCCTTCCCCCTCCCCCAGCTCCAGCTTGGGTAGCTTTTCCCTCCGTCATTCTTAAAGCCTCCCCTGTTTCTCCCCATGCACCCTTTAGACAAGAAGCCCTTTTCTTTATTATTAATAGCTTTTGAGAGGCAGTAAAAAGTTTTATAGGGTTTGGCCAAGCGTCAGGGCTTGCAGTGCGCTCATTTCCTGGAGGCTGAGCGCTGGAGGGGTGTGGGGTTGCTTGTTTAACCCGCAGGTAATAAGGCCACGGTGCTGAGGCCATGGCATCGAGGGCTTTCGGTGGGTGTAAGGGGAGCCGAGCGAGGAGCAGAGGAAGGTGGTGAGAGGGGGAGCGAAGCCAGGGGAGCGGAGGGCGGGCAGAGAGGGGGTGGGCTGCCTTCCCCGATCGGATCGCTCTAAATCTGGCGAGGGCTGAGCCGGGAACAGAAGCGCAGGTGATTAACGCTGGTGGAAAGCGGGGTGCGTGCACGCCTGTCAGTCCGTCTTTTTCTCTCTCATGTGGCCTCCCAGGGTGTGCTGGGCTCCTGCTCAACCCTCTCTGCACTTTTTCTAGCTCGTGTTTTAACTTCCTGGCTGTCCTGTTCCTGGCACGCTCCAGCTGCCTCCCACGAGAAAGGAGCAAGCCCAGACCTATCTCTGGGCAGCACCGCGGGCTTTGCGCTGGGAGGAAAAGCTGGAAGTCTGGAACGAAGGGAGGGTGCAGCCCGCCCACCACGGGAACCCGGCTCCCCGGGCACAGGGCTGGTGCATGCTATTTCTGCTCCCCTGGAAAGCAGGGATTTGCCCTCAAAATTGGGCCGCATGAACAAGCTGTGGTCGGTTAGCAGCGCAACAGTGGTTGCACTGAGTTGATGTCCAGGGTGGAAACACATGGGAGGGAGTTTGAACTGTCTGGTTCGGTGGGGTGAGCTGAGCCCTGCCTGTTTAGGGCAGCGGAGGGTACCCTCAGGTTGCCCTACCGCCAGCACAGGGCTTTCTGCCAGCCTCCCTGGGAGCCGTGCCAGGAGGGGAGGCTGCGGGTGGAAGCAGCAGTAGGGGACAGGGCTGGCCTACGGGAGGTATTTGGGAGGTTCACCCTGAGCACCCCTCTTCTCGGAGCCCTAAGCTCACCCCTGGAGACGAGAATCGCTGCCTCTGCCATGGTCATCTCAGCCCTGGCTTCACGACCTATTTTTTTCCTCCACCCTTCTAACTGCTGTTTTCATTGCCCTCCTTGTCAGATGCAGAGCAGAGGGTGACTTTGTGGTCTTGGGCTATGATCCTTCATAACCAGTTGCTCAATGGTTCGGCGTTTTCTCTACTTCCTGGTTGGTAGCATCCCTGTTGTAGCAAACCTTAGGGACCTGCATGCGAGGCCGTGTCCCGAGCGGGCAAGGTGCTGCGCGAATGAGCACGGGTGGCCATCAGGAGCTCTCTGCAGAAGCAGCAGTGAGTGTAACTGGCTGCTTTTGCCCAGGCTGCAGCCATGACCCGTCTGGATGCGACCCTGGGAAATATGCTCTAGAGGACCCTGCCTGAGCAAGGAGGTTGGACTAGATGATCTCCAGAGGTCCCTTCCAACCTAAACCATTCTGTGATTCTCTGACTAACCCTGTTGACCACCCTGCCTTGCTCCGAGTTTTGCAATGAAAAGCAGAGTTTGTTTGCAAACGAGGAGGAAACAAAGGGAATTAGGAGCTAGCCGCGGTGGCAAGTGGTACGCGAATCGGTGCCAGTCTCCAGGCAAGATGTGCGCATCAGTGTACGTAGGACCTCATGCTAGTGAGCCGGTCTGGGGTCCTGCCAGCCGGTGCCTGTTTTATCCCAGCCCCGCAGCCCTGGGCAAGCTGCTGTGCGAGCCCTGACTGTGGTAATTCCCCGCCCAAGCAGGCTAATATGTAGCGCAGCTGGTTAGAAACCATGTCCTCTCCCACGCGTCCCGGCGCAGGATCACTAGCACAAAGGTCCTCTGTAGTCCTGGCCCGACCGTGGCTGAGGCTTGTGTTCAAGGGAAGTTCTCTGACTCAGCCAGCCTCGGCCTCCAGCCCCCGAGGAAGCCGAAAACTCCTAACCCACAGGGATCCTCCCGGCGAGTGTGTGCGTGGGGAGAATGTCCTCTTTTTGCTTTATAGGAAATTGCATGTCCATTGTGGTTTTTCCCTCTAGTTTACATCTGTCCTCTGCTCTTGGGGGCTCTCGGGTTTGACCAGCAGCAAGCTGGCCCCAGGCATCTCGGCTGGCGCTTACGGGCCTTCCCTGTCGCCAGCAGCCTTTCCCTGTGACAATGTTTTTCTCCTCAAGTGATTTTTTCCTCGCTCTGACCTGGAGGTGCTTGTAGAACATCTCACCTCCTGCCGCGGCCGGACATTCTTCTGTAGAAGAGTGACCCAAATGGTCCAGGAATAGCAAACCCTCCTGGTATGGTAGGAGAGGAAGGGGCAGTGGGGGCCTCTTGCCACAGAGCCTAGAGTGGCACAAGGCTGTCTCCCTGAGGTTGGAGCTCCAGAGCAGCCAGTTTCTGGCCTCCCCGATCCTTCAGTCTTCTCCTAATTCCTATTGCAGTTGAGGAAATGTTGCTTCCCAACTGACTGGAGCTCCCACCCTCCCTCTGGCTGAAGGTGAGTCAGGACGTGGCGTGGAGAGGGGATGATGTCTGCAGTTCCCCCTTGCCACCAGCCGAGAGAACAGCCAGCAGCGCGCTGGGCTTCCTGTGACGGTCTCGTTCCTCCGGCCTCTCCCAGGCCTCAGCTGCGGCATGCTTCTTCGTCACTAATGACTTCACCCCTTGTCCTTCAGAGATGGGAGTTACCTGTAAAGCAGTGAAGGTTTTAGAGGGGCTCTGCTGAACTAGGCATAGGAGCCTGGATCCCACAACTCCCTGTTGCTTTAGGGAATCACCTTCCTCCCGCTTCCCTCTTGCTAATTCTCTCGTTCTCCTCTCCACAGCTCGAAGCCTGAGGAGCCACCCCGGGAAGACCCTCTCCGCAGCATGTTCTCTCCACCAAAGAGTTCCTTGTAACAGGCGACGATGACAATCCCAACAGGACCTTGGAAAGCACTAACATTGCAGTAGCCCAGCACCCGCTTATCCCTCCTTCTCCGCACCCCACCCTCCCATCGCACACCGTGATGGTGTATTGACAAAGAAGAGCCCTGCTTTCTTTTCTCCTCCCCCTACAACTTTCGGCAGCTCTTGGATTTGTATGGCAGCAGCGTAACCGTGGAGAGGCCGGGGTATCACAAACTTATGGATTTTGATAAGAGAGGAGGGAAAGGGGAGCTGGAGGAAGGTAAAAGGATGTCCAAAGCAGGTGGAGGAAGGAGCAGTCATGGAAGCCGGAGTGCTGGAACCAACTCGGGAGTCTTAATGGTGGGTCCCAACTTCCGCGTCGGCAAGAAGATTGGATGCGGCAATTTCGGGGAGCTCCGTCTAGGTGAGAAGGGCCGCCTTCTGTCCTCGCTATAACTTGTGCAGTGATTGCTTTGTTGTCTGCCTCCTGCAGTGGGAGGAACTGGTACCCACCTGCGACCGCCAGCATTAAGGGTGTTGACCAACAATGCAGATGTTAAAGCATCGCGCACTGCTGGTGCACCATGCTTCCTTTGCAGAATCCCCTTTTCTTCAACCCCCTCCCACTGTGCTTGATCTTTCAAAGCCTATCACAGAGCCAAAGGACGGATTGCAGAGGTGTTTCCCATCTCTTCAATAGCTATCAGTCTTTTGGGATGTTATGGGAAGCATTAAAGTGGAGTCCTATCTGTTCAAAGTGGAGGTGGCCTCAGGGTACCCCAAGCAAGCAGTGTGGTCCAGGCGCAGGAACACTTAGGGAATAACATTTCACAAGATGCTGTTTTATGCTCTCCAGATCTCCCCCAACTTATGGTGCGCAGGGTGCTGCCCTCCAAGCAGCCATCTCACTGCTCCAGGTGCTGCAGGAGAGAGGATGGAGGGCCATGGGGAATGTGTGCTGTTAGGTCTGCTGTGGAAAGCATTTGGGGAGAAGAGTCAATATTTTATTCCAGATAAATTCTCCAGTTGCTGAAACTGGTTATTTCAGAGACACTTCTGAAAGCTTATGCAAGGGAAGGAGAAAGGGCTGAATAAAACCAAAAAGCTTTCATGGTTATTTTCCATTTTGAACTAAATTAAGCAGGAAATAGTTGAAGCAAACTCTTAGAGGGTGGGTACGCTGTTTCTCTCCCAAGGACTCAAAGTGCCTCGGGAGGTTTTCAGCCAGCTTTTAACTCTTAGATTGGTATCAGGCGGCAGGGAGAGGCCTGGCGGTGCCAGGTGCTGCTGTGCCAGCAGTGAGGGCTGGATGTCTCCAGGAATGCAAGTTGGACATGTCGAGGGAGTCTCTGCCAGGCAAAGCATTGGCCTTGGCTGCGAATGCTTTGGGAAAGGGCTTTTGCTGTAGGATGACGCGATGGAGCTGCTCCCCGGAACGGGCTGGGAGCCTGTGATGGCTGCGGCCCTTGTTGCTCCGTGATATTTCAAGCAGTGCCTTTTTAAACCGAGCTCAAAACTAAACCTGCAGTAAATGTGGTCTTCTCAGCAAGCTGTTTGTGTGCGAAAGGAACAGGAGGTGGGAGGCTGGCAGAGCTGCCCCCGGCTGAGGCACCCGCTCAGAGGGTGGGGTGCGTTTACCCACCCCTGTGCGCGGCCTCTGTTTGCGGGGAGTTAATGCTAGCTCTTCCTAGCATGACAGACTGGCTGGTGCCAGGCTAAACCGTCTTGTTCCTGAATCTCCCTGATGGGATCGCAGCTTAATTGTAGAGCTTGGGAAAAGCCTCTCTTTAAAATCCAGCCAAGTGGTTCCCGCGCTCAGACTCAGTGGTGGAGGGTCTGTCTTTCCTGGTGTCGTGGAGGGAAGAGCTCTAATCCTTCCTCTGGGCCTAGGTGTTGCGGCAGGAGAGAGGGGCTCGTGTCCTCCCCACTAGACTTGGGGATTTTGTCCCACCAGCTGTTCTTTTCGGGTGGATTTGGCCCCGCTTGAGGATGCTGCACCTCCTGCTGTTCGTGTCTTGGGTGCGGCGTTGGCTGGGAGGAGGTGAGCGCTGAGGCTGCGGAGGGGCTCTGAGCAATGCAGAGTTTGCCTGAGTCTCTTTCACCTCCATGTGTGTTTTTCCTCCTTGCAGGAGCATGTCCCGTGGTGGGTACAAGTTTCTGGGTGAGCTGTCTTCCTAGATCCCGCTTTTGTGCTTGGCTTTACCCAGCGCATGAGAAACCTTGTTTCTGCTCACCCACCGCTGCTGCCTCCTGTTAGTGCAAAGAAGCATCTCTTTCCTTCCCATCCACCCCCTGAGCCTCTGGGTTGTAGCAAGATGTATGGTGAGATACGAGACTATTGCAGTGTAAAGTAGACGCTTTCTTCCTTGCGCCAGGCAGAAGACTGAAGCAATTGGGGGCCGTTTCTCTTGCTCTTCCCCGCAAGCCCCGGCTGACGCATTCAGCTCTGAGGGCTGGCGCTAACGCCTGCCTTGGCCGCCGCCTTGGTTTCTCAGGTACAGCCCCGAGGTGGACGTGAGGTTCGCGCAGATCCAAGGAGCGGCTGGGGAACTGGCAGGCCGGGGGGGTTTGGCGGGG